GGGAGAAAAATCGGAAAGTCCGCAACAAGTCCAAATCCCAGCATGCTACGAGGACAAAAAAAAAGACGTAAAGATCGATTCTGTCGAGAGCCAACAAACCACTCCAAGTTGATTTTCCAAGAGATATTGCACGCAATATCTTGAGAAATTGGCAGAATTGATCAAAGATCAACTTGTAAAAGTAAAATCCAATTAAATATCTCGAATAAAGTTGCTCTAATTTATACATTATTTAATTATTATTAATATTATTTATTATCACGTTTTAAAAATTATCGAGGCAACTTTATTCGTAAAGTTGAAAAATTTTTTTTATTTTTGCCCACCAAATCTCTGCCTGACAGAATCATTCCTCATGCTTTTTCTTCGACAGCGTAAAGAATTGGAAAACACCCTGCTGGATAAACCCTCGGATAAGAAAATTCTGCATGCGCAATACAAGATGCTTACGACACAACAGATGCAATCACGTAAAGAGCATACGATAGTATCGATGTCTAAATTAATGTTTCTATAATGGCGAATATAATAATGAATTTCTATCCATCTAGCTAATTATATTATGGCGTATATACACATATATATATACGATTAGTTTTTATTAACGTCTATCAATGAGATTCGTCTAAATCGAGCGGGCTATATTTTATATATATATATATATATGTTGTTATATTAGTGAGCGGCGTTCCGACGAAAAAGAAATTTTCTACGGAAACGACTAGGACTCGACTAGTGGTGGTAGTAGTAGTAGTAGTAGTAGTAATAGTAATAGTAGTAATAATAATAGTGCAGCGAAAACTTTTTTTTTCTTTTTTTTTTTTTTTTTTTTCAATTATAATTCTTGCTCGTTTTCTCAACTATGCTGTCGAGCTACAATTGTCATCTACTTTTCAGCGCCTCGATTCGAATAACAAGTCGTGTTAATAATTGTCAAGAAAACCAAGAGGCAAACAACACAGGTGGTGATATGGTGATATGGTTGTTCCGGTGATTCTTGGTCGGTGGATGGAAGCGGCATATTCATATAGGGATCGTCAGCAACGAGGTTAAACGTTTGGTGTGTTAATCACGTCCGACAGAACGAAGGATGCATTCGACGAGACCCTTTTTTTGTTTATTTATTTTTTTTTTTTCCTTCTAAGACCTTCTAAAGGAAGAAAGAGGAGGGGGGGAAAAACACAGTCTTTAATCTAAGGTGTAATAATCGTGAAGAAGGTAATGAAGATAGAGAAAGAGAAAGAGAAAGAAATTGATAGAAAGAGAGAGAGAAGGATAAATGGATTCGGTAAAAAAGGATCGTTTCGACGGTGCAAAAACCCACAGACTGGGATCGGTCTCGTTCGATTATCCTTCGGCAGAAGAGAGAAGGTGATGAAGCCAGAGAAGAAAAGATCATCGTCGATTATCGAGGGTATCGGAAGAGACGAGCGATGTATATCGAGCGACAGACCATTGGATGGAATAATATATCTAAGGATGGGATATATAAAACGAGAGAAGAGAAAGAGAGAGAAAGAAAGAGAGATTCGATATTTTAGGACTATATTCACAGAGACGAATTGGTTTGTGCGGACCAGATACGACGAGATACTTGGAACGAGGCGCCACCAAAAGGTGATTCTTTTTTTTTTTTTTTTTTTTTTTTTTTTTTTTT